TTGCAGCGAATGTTGGACCACATGTAAATATTTCCCAGGCTGCACAGAAGCGAGCTCTAATTCTCCTAGTAGTACATTTTTCTTTTCTGTAAACACTTTCATATGCGGTATTTTAATTTTCATCGGATGCCCCGATACGAATATGCAAAACAGTTGCACAATAAATTTATTTGTATTTTATTCTCAATACATAAGTTCTAATCATGTGGAAACATCGTTTTGCGTATTCCAAACGGGACATCCTAACTCAATGTAAGTATGATTAATGCAGGCCCTCCTCCCTCTCTGCTCACGATTAAATTGTCTCTTACGTAAAATAAACAATAAAATTACTTTAGAAGGTTCAGGTGTTTTTTCTCCCGGGAAAAGAGCAGACGGAGGGGAAAAAGTAGAGATTGTAGTTATATCGAGTTGATAAGTTCATTTTTAGTTTTATTCTTATATAATTAAAATAGCCCATATATCTCTTTTGTAAATATATAATTTCGAAAGATCGCCGCTGTAGTACCGAAAGGTGGAGCACCGGCACCATGTAAATATTTAATTAATAATAAATCATACTGTGGGTGATCTTGGACGATAAAGAAAACTGTTTACTGAAGAGAAAAGTAGTGAATTTATTTTACAGAAATAAAGATAGTAAAAACGAATAGAGGAAGGAGGGTAGATGTTAATATCAAGAATGGCTGAGAGAGTTTTGAGGGTGCAGAAACTATGATGAACCGTGTTAAATGCACTTTTTCTAAATTTTGGAGGAATGAATAGACAAGCGGTAGCGAATTTCAGGAATTTGAATCTGTTTGATGTTTAATGCAGAGTTATTGTTGAGGTATTTCTGTAGTTCCTCGTCTGATTCTTGTGCGGCTACTAATGCTTGGCAGACTAAATTTGGTGTATCTATTCCATCAACGCCGGATAATGTATCAGCAATAATGTTGTTTTTTGCCCAATTTTGCTGGTTGAACAAATCTAAATGTTAGGTATATGGTATTCTGCCCATTACTGCGTCACTGTCGTTTTAAAATTTTATATTTCTTTTCTTAACAAAGTTTGTTTTTTGTTTTAAGGTGATAATAGGTGACTCACCAAACGTGTACACGTCGTTTCTCGTGTCCTAATTAATTTGTGTAATTTTTATTAATTAAAGATATTGTTTTATTGTTATTGAAGAGTTTTATTAGCTCATAGCAATTGTATTTCCGTACTGGTTAATGGTACTCTACTTTTATAGTCTCTTTGTTATATTAATTTTCGTGATATTCGCTCACCCTCTTTTTGGTTAGGTTTAAATATTCGTGCCTATTCAAAACGAGTGAAAGTGCGAGAAGTGAAATTTGTTGCGGATATTGCTCGGACACTAGAAGTGCTCTTAACTTGAATAATTCTAAGGTATGCAATGGATGCAGAGCATACCATCATGCCAGCTGCTACGAAAAAGCAACTAAGGGCAGGAGCGATGCACTAAATATATATTGTGAAAAGATGTCGAAGGGCAGCGGTACCAGCATGAACGCATCCCAGGTTGCTGGACTGTCTGGTAAGACATCATCTTAGCACCAACTTGGTAATAGTCAAAAGAAAAATCACCTTAGACTCACTCTGGGTGAAGGTAAAATCTTTAATTGACAATAGTAAATCTAGTATGGATAATATGCTAAAGAAAACAGGTAGTATTGCTACCGTACAGGCGGAGACAGACTGTTGCTGCTCTCAAGGCCACTGCTCGTCGGCCTTGTTACAGGACATACGTAGTTGATAGCGCGTGGAAACTACCGGACTACCTTCCTTTGTCGGGAACTTCTAAATTAAGCATTATATACCTCAAATGAAGAAAGTTTATTTACAGGTGGCTGAGAGATATATGTATATACACTTGTCGATACAGTCCAAATAAAGATATTATTTACACATACAAGGAGAAAGAACAAAACAAAGTATATAAACAGTTCACTTAACCTAATGCACTAATGCGCCACGCATGGCATGTAAAAGAATAATACATACCAATATAAACAACAAAGATAGCTAGATATATACATATATTCAACCTAATCCTAACCTGAAGATGACCGAGAACGTTTCGGAGTTGGTGGAAGCGGCGACAACGGGGCGAGAACCGGTGGCAGTTTCGGCACTGGCTACGGCGGCTTCTGTGGATCGGTTGCGGGACGGGGTTCATGAAGCGACACGTAGGCGTCCTGGAGCTCCTGGAACACTTGATCTAGTTGGCCGGGTTTCAGGACCTGTGGAGATCCCTGGATTTGTCGCCGGTGTTGCTCCTTGCGTTCCTTCCAACGACGCGCAGATGCTCCTCGACGATGACGTGGTAGCCTAGAGATACGTAGGTTCCCTGGCTATAAGCGTCTCGTGGTTAAGAGAGTAGTCTAATAGAAGTTGAGTGACTAAAGGGGTAGCCGACTGACCTTCTGTGTTTTTGTTTACTTTTTAGATTATACTAGAGGAGGGGAAATATTCAAAAGACATCCCCTGAAGGGAGGTAGTGTCGGATTCTTACCGACTAAAACCCCTTAATGAGCGGTAAGGTAAACACTGTGGGTTGCTCATCCCCGGGAAGAAATTGGAAGGCTGGAGATTGGGGATAGGGGTTAGATGCGAAATCGGTTAAGAGTGTGGGTAGAAAGTAGTATTGGGGAGGAATCCGAAGTAGGTGGTCCACCTCTGAAGTGCTGGATGGACACTCGGATTAAAAAGCGAAGGTAGGAGTAAGAAGTGAGCGAATGAGAACGGTTCATTGTAGAAGGTGACAGGGCCTTCGGAAACGATCGTTGGGTTTCGGTGCGAAGTTGGAGAGTGCCGAGATGGTGGGGTTTGCGTGGCCAGATACTGAGGCCCGGAGATTTGCCGCGAATGTGATTGCAGCCTCGGGGAGAGAAGGTAAACCGGTTTCAGTCAGAATTTGGGTGCTTCTGAAGAACCAGGGGTAGTTAAGTGCGGAGCGAAGAATCCGCATGTATGTACCTTGCAAAGGTTTCCGAGAAAAGAAGATTACCTCCGATTTGGTCTCGTTAATGGAGAGTCTCCATTTCCGATACCAGTTTAGGAGCCGGGACAGAAACCTATTTATTCTTACTGTGCTTTGGAGAATGGTACTTGAAAAGTTTATAATGGCAATGTCGTCAGCGTACAGAGCAGTCAGAACTGAAGTGTAGGAGGGCATGTCCGCACAAAACAGGTTAAACAGAATAGGGGATAGTTTGGAACCTTGTGGGACACCGACTGTGACAGGTTAACTGGCAGGGAGAGCAGAACTAACGCGGACACGAAGGCTTCTGTCTGTGATGTTGCACAGTGCGGTTATGTGCATTGGTGGCAGGACTTTAAGGGCTCCGTCAGTAATTCCGTCAGCGTCAGGGGCTTTTCACTTTTTCAGAAATCGGATTGTGAGAGACTTCGGGTGGGCGTGTGTTTAAAGTCGGAATTTAGGGGAACGAAGTTCTGAGAGACGGCTTTGGTACGCTCGTGAAAGTCGGCAAATTCCACTAGACTTGGTAGTGGGGAGCATTGGAGACATAAAGGAGTCTGCGAATATTGCACCTTTTTCGTCTGAGGAATAGGTGGAGGCGTTCTGTTTTAGTGGCGGAATATGGGGGGCTCTGTTACGAGGTGAGGTCAAGAATTTTGGCAAGAAGGAAGGTGCCTTTACTATTGGTTTGTCGACAGCCCCAAGAGACGTTTAGCGTTGACATCGCCTGCAACAATGGTCGGTGCGCCTGGGTGGAGTAGAAGGGGTAGTTCAGAAAGGTCTCTGTCCGAAGGGGGGAGTAGAGAGAAATAATCTTAAGAGAGCCAGAAGTTAGTGAAACTTCGATGCCGACTGTTTCTACCGAGTTTGCGGCCAAAGAAATAGGCCTGTGCTTTAGAGAATTCCTAAGAGAAGTTTTTTCGGAATGGTGGGTTTCGGTGATGCAAGCAACACCCATTGACTTATCCTCGATGAAGTGCTCAAGTTCAGTCAGTTTACCTGCAATCAGGTAACTATACAAAGATTGTCTGAGTGGGCGGTGTTAGACATTGGTGGTTTGTTGTAAGGCGGCGACAATGCTGGCGACCATGATTTGGACAATGATTTGAAGTTTTTGTTCCAAACTTGGGATTGCAACTACAGCTGGAGGAGTGCTTGTGTTGAGTTTTTGGGTGGGGGAAGGGAGGCGGTTATTACTGCCTTGGCATAGGATTGAGAAGCAACAGAAGTGACGGTTTTCTTGGGGGGTGAAGGGAGGGTCCTTTTGGAAACCATAGGATAGCCGCGGTAAGCGGCGCGGCGGATCCCTTTGCAGTTGGCACAAGTGGGAGTGGCATCCTTATCGTCCTTGGATTTGCACTCGGCGGTTATGCAGTTACGGCAGCAGAAATCCAGACCCAGGCTGCGTGGCAGTAGTTGGCTGTATGGAAGAATTTCATACAAGACCTTCTGTGACCAGTCCGGCCGCTTTTATCTTCCAGCGCGGCGAGTTAGTTCCGCCTACTCCCTCCACTGAGCAGCGGCAGCGTGCTCTGATAGGTGCGCACGACCGACGCGCTGTTGCTATAAATAGTGGTGGTAGTCAAGTTCTTAGCATATACCACATCGAACCTTCGAAGAGAGCAGACCAGCCGACAAGCAGCAACCAACAGCGAACCAGCTAAATCAGAGCAGCAGTCAGCAGACATCCAGCTTACTTCAAGTTCGAGACCCGCAAATTATTTGCAATTTTATTACAGCCTTCGCCAGGAGTTATCAACTGCCCAGCCGTTACCGGTAAGAAAAGTTTAAAATCATTTTATTAATTAACCGACATTCTTAGGGACCGAGTACGCAACGTCCCTCTGAATTAACACTACCCCTGTAATCAAACGCGCTAACCAACTAATACACCTTTACACATATACTCACACTTAAACACACACATAGATAAACATATTACAAGCCATGAATACCCAAACGACCAAAAATCCTAGAACATCCTCCCCCGAGGAACAACCGTTCCAAGTAGTAAAACGTTCCCGTAGACGCTCCTCGTCTTATTCCTCAACCTCGTCTACTTCAGCTTCCACCACTGCACCTAGATCTCCCCAACCACTTAACGCTCTCCCAATCCTAGCCGCCTTAATAACAAACATACCTACCAAACTGTGCAACCTTCCCTTATGTTCCTTAACCTAACTGTCTTTAAAGACAACAAAGCTGTCGTTACCTCCAGAGATCCCGACCTAATTAAAAAGTTGAAACCCTTAAGATCCACTATATCCGAAAAGATAGAAATCCAACTGAGAGATAACAAATCCAAAAAACCTCTACTTCCGACACCTAACAGACCTTCTCCCTTTAAACCTACCTTCTCCTGCGTAGCTCGCTCAGTAGATATGAACATCTCGCCAACAGACATCCTCACCGCTCTCCGTGACCAGAACATTGAAGCCAAAAATGCCTGGCGCATTAAGTCCAGGCAAACGGGACAGGACACCTTCCCGTTCCGGATCATCTCGAACTGTCCTAAGTCCATCGACAGATTACTCTCTAACGGCTTCAAAATGTTCTCCAAGAATTATCGGTGCGAACCTTCCCAATCCCCTGGCCCTCAGCCGCTTCAGTGTGGCAAATGTTTCGCATTCGGCCACAATACTTCTTCTTGTCACCAGAAACCGCTCTGCTACCGCTGCGGTCTAAAGCACGATCCTTCCACGTGCACGTCCTCACCTTCCTGTACCAACTGCAAAGGCAAGCACCTTGCCTTTGACAGCAAATGTCCCAAAAGACCAGACCCGAAAACCCTCACTCCCTCTAAGACTGCACCTGTAAAGTGCGTCGATCCTCCCGCCGAAGAGTTATCGGACAAGAACGATGACTCTTCTCCCGAACTATCTTCCACTCCAGAATCTGAGCGCTTCACAAGAATCGAAGACGTGATTCGATTCACCTACCTCTGCATGTCTTCCCTTCACCCCAATTCCAGACTAGTCGAAGACGTAGTAGCCCGACACGCCGCTCAATTCTTCAGGCGAAAAGTGTCGTACGTCATGCGCGGCAGTCATGTCCATATATCCATCACACACCTGCAGACACCTAAAACATACTCTCACTCATAAACCCCTACCAATATTATCGGTAGCTCACATCCCCGTTAATTAAATTCACAGACCTGAAAATTTCGACGGTCAACACGTGCGGATGGAAACGAAAAAAGAACAACGTCATTCATANAGAGCAGCTACACTTACCACAACGTCGCGAAACTTGTCCCACAGGATCCTCGCAACCGAGCGACGTATTCTACGCAAAGTCGCGAGATTAGACTTACATTTTCCATCCGACACACTTTACAACAACATCCCAATTACCCCAATCCCTGCACGAATCCATAACTTACAATCCAAATTCACTAAAAGAGCTATCGATAACAACAACCCTACAACAACAAGAACCCTAACCCACACTCCAAAACGAATAACACGTAAACCAAAGAACAAACTTCCCTTTCCTCCTGCCAAACTTCTGGCGATCACTCCCGACCTACCCGAAGAATACGTAGACTACTACGAAACACTCCCCAACACCCTAAAATAAAAACATCCACTCACAAACAAAACCACAAACGCACACACATACACATACACATACACACACACACACAAACACACACGCAAACATACACACATACACAAAACATTCACATAACATAAAAACCACAATCACATAATACACAAACACATACGGCTGAAGAGGACCTTAATTGGTCCTAAAACGGCCTGAGGTAGAGGGGTTTTAGTCGGTAGGTCCGAGGACTCCTTCCTCGGGAATCCGACACTACCCAGTCGTACGGACGAGGTCACCAACTCGGAAGCCCACTTGTGGTTGTTGTGGGTCGGCGACATATCTCCTTTGGTAAACCTGCTGTCGGCGGACCATCTGTTGGCGGCGTTTCTAGCGGGCCTATCCTGAATTGTCGGAGATGTCAGGATTGAGGGTTTCTCCGAGTCCATGGACGGTGGATCGTGTAGCCGAAGAGGGCCTCGCTCGGAGTCTGAAGTGTTGTGGCATTTCGTCAGGATCGCAAATTGAACAACACCTTGTTCAGAGCCTTATCCCAGTGTTCCGGTGGTGGATGCGTAGTCCCTTCTTGAGCTCCTTATTTCTCTGCTCGGTGGGATTCTTATGGGGGTGGTAAATGGCGGTAGTCCACGGCGCAATGTGGTGACGGTGACAATACTTTTCCCAGAGGCGGCAGGTAAATTAAGGACCATTGACCTACAGCAAAAGTGGGGGTATCCGTATCGGCTGAAAACTTCTTCCTCTAGGTAGTCTACGATGGAATTGTTTGGAGCGCTTGGGGCAGCCTTGTCTTCCACCCATTGGGAGAACAAGTCAGTCACGACGATGATGTACTTGTTTACCGTGGATAGAGGGTAAGGTCCCATTATGTCGACCGCCACGGTTTCCCAGGGACGTCGGGGGGTTCTTGGGCGTAGCGCCACGGCTTTCTGATGGATGTAGGCGCAGATTAGGCATTCCTTTAGATATTGACGGACATCCTTTGGCAGTGTCGGCCAATGATATTGTAGTTGGATGGTTCGAAACGTCTCGTCGCATCCCGGATGGCCATCATCTGGATGGTCGTGGAAGTAGTGGAGGACGTATTGGTATAGGACTTCCGGTACAACGAAGAGATCTCTGTTTTCCTTCCGACGATATAGGAACCCATTCGTAACCGTATAGTGATCCCGGAAACCTCTTTCGTCGGGTAGTTGAGGGACACGCAGCAGCAGTCGCTCTGGAGGATTGAAGGAGTTCGGATTTTTCCAGAAACCGAAAACGACTACAGGTGGGCATTAAAGCTCATTGACGCAGTAGGAGCTAATGGATTTACAATCAGTTTGAAACAAGAGCAGGACCTGAAGATAGTGTTCAGAGGAGTGCCGCAAGAAATTCCAATTGAGGAAATCCAAGATCTTAGGGACATACTTTCAAAACCGTCATGATATTGATGTCATATCATTAATACAATACAATACAATAATACAAGAAATTTTAGATTTACTTTCAATTTGCCTAAACCAAAATTATTTTAAATTTAATAACATTTATATACAAAAGGAAGGCTTACCTATGGGTATGCCCTTATCTCCCATATTAGCTGATATATTTATGGACAACTTGGAACATATTATTCACAGAAGTAACCAAAAAAAAATATAAAGTTTTGGAAAAATTATGTAGACGATATTTTTGTTGTATGGAGTGGTACAAAAAGACAATTAAATATATATTTAGATTACCTGAATAGTTTACATAACAGGATTAAATTTACTATTGAAAGAGAAGAAAATAATAAGTTAAATTTTTTAGATCTAACATTGGAAAAACAAGATAATAAAATAGAAATTTCTGTCTATAGGAAACCCACTCACACAGACACTACAATTCATAAAGAGTCTTGCCACCCCATGCAACACAAAATTGCAGCCTACAATAGCATGGTTCACAGATTATGCAGATTACCATTAAATTAAATTAATTATGATAAGGAAGTAGCTATTATAAAGCAGATTGCTTATGAGAACGGATTTAATACCAAACTTATTGATAATTTAATTCGTAAAAAACAGATTAATTTATGTTATAATTCTATTTATCCTAATGTGCATGTAAAAAACTGTAAATTTAACACACATATCTAGGTTTTTTCTCTTTAAAAATAGCTTTAAAAAATGAGAACGTTAAAATTGCTTTCAAAACAAATAACAACCTTTTTAATTTTATAAATTGTAGAAAAGATAAAACTGATTTGTTACAAAAATGTGGTGTGTATAAATTATGCTGTGATTCATGCAATGTAGTCTATATAGGACAAACGGGTCTGACTTTTAAGGAACGGATATACGAACACAGCAAAAATTACAATGGTAAATCTGCTTTTATGAATCATATTGTAAAAATTTTGACAAAGAAGAAAATGTAAAAGTTTTGCAGTTTAAAGACAAAAGTAAAAAACTTACTATATTAGAATCTATAGAAATTATGAAACACTTAAATTGTAATTCGGAAAGTGTCCTCAATGAAATCGAAAATGTTTACAATTCCCCAACTGTAAAACTTTGTGCAAAATATCTGTAAAACACCCCACCCTAAAGAATTAGTATATAAGAACCAAATTTGTTAACTTCAAATATTCTTCCGAAGATGACCTTGTAGGTTGAAACGAATTTGTCAAGATTCAATATAAATATATTTAGTGAAAGTTGTTTTTCAAGTGTTTATTTCAAAAGAAAAATCAATTTAATGATGTTGTTGGGGATGCCGTCTTCACCAGGCGTATTGTTTTTTAGTTTCGCGAATGTGTAAGTTATGTCGTCTTGTGTTATTTCGGCCATAATATTGTCTCGCGTGTGTTGTGCGGCATGCAAAGTTCGTCTTATGTAATTATTAATGACGCTGTGTGTGTCGCGTCGTGATGTGGTCCGGTGTATGTTACATGCAAATTTTGAATGGTGACGGCGAATGCGTTTGCTTTTTCTTCAGGGTTGTTATGTATTAAATCGTTGACTACGAGGTGGTTTACAGTTGATTGCTTCTGTCCGGTAAGGGCTTTAAATTTGCTCCAGAATTCAGATCCGTTATGGTAATTTAGTTTGGAACAGATCTTGTACCATCGGTTTTCACGATGTGTGTTTATGTTTAGGCGTACTAGCGCGTTTAACCTGTTCCATTCAGTTTTTACCACTGGATTTCTTGTTCTGAAGTAGAGATAGTATAGATCGCGTTTTCTTTTTATGAGTTTGACTATCTAACGCGGAAAAGGTTTTCTGCCTATGCTAATTCGTTTAACTGGTGCTGTCTGGTCTATCGCGTTTTGAACGCATGTGCTATATGTGTTTATCGCGGTATCGATGTCTATTTGATTATCTACGTTCGGTGGGAGTAAGTTTGCGTTCGTTATATGTTCGCGAAAATTATCGAAGTTTATGTTTTCATAATCCCGGATTGCTTTATACGCCATTTGTGCTATTTTGCGCGTTTGTATATTAAGTGTGGCAGTGAGCAGTAAATGATCGCTAATTATTAGTGTCCCTATTTCGCAATGGTCCGCTCTGTCCGTGCAGAGTATATGGTCGGGAATAGGGGAGCCAAGGTGACTAAGGAACGTTATGTGAGTGTTTTGAACGCGGAACAGATTTAGAGAAAGAAACGCGTTAGAGAGAATGCGCCCGTTACGATTTGTTGCGGAATCGCCGAAAGTAGTGTGTCGCGCATTGAAATCTCCTAAAATTATGACTCTAGGAATGGTGGATATGTAGGATAGGCACTCGGCAGGATGCTTGACGGTAGGACTGTTGTAGAACGATATAACGATTATATCGTCGGTGCGTAGGTGTAGTGTAGCTGCAACGTAGTCAAGTTCCTGGAATTGAGGAGGAAGGAAAAAGCGACTAGAAGCGAGTGTGTTGTGTATTAGTAGCGCTGTACCTCTGAGTCGTAAGCGTTTGTCGTTGCCGTATTGTGGGGCAAGGTATCTTTCATTTCGGTTCGATAGCGTTTCCTGTAAGGCTAGTATATGAATAGCGTCGGTGAGTAGTGTATGTAAGACGCTATTCTTTTTCCGTTTCCAGCCGCACGCGTTGACAGTCGATATCTTTAAGTCAGTGAACGTAAGTCAATGGGGGTGACGAGCCACCGATGGGAATGGTGGGTGTTTAGGAATGGGAGAAGGTCTTTGGGGTTTTCAGATGGGTGATTGAGATATGTACGTGGCTGCCGCGCATGACGTACGACACTTTGCGCCTGAAAAATTGGGCGGCGTGTCGGGCTACTACGTCTTCGACGAGCCTGGAGTTCGGGTTTAGGGATGACATGCATAGGTAGGTAAATCGAATGACGTCTTCGATCCTAGTGAAACGTTCGGGTTCGGGATTTGATGTCAGTTCTGTAGATGAATCGTCGTCGTCAGAGATTTCTTCGGCAGGCGGGTCTACGCACTTAACCGGGGCTGTCTTGGAAGGAGTAAGGGTTTTTGGATCAGGACGCTTGGGACATTTAATGTCAAAGGCAAGGTGTTTGCCCTTGCAGTTGGTGCACGAGGGAGAGGATGTGCAGGTTGCAGGGTCGTGTTTTAATCCGCAGCGGTAGCAGAGCGGTTTTTGTTGACACGAAGTAGAATTGTGTCCAAATGCGAAGCATTTTCCGCATTGAAGTGGCTGAGGGCCGGGAGACTGGGACGGTTCGCAACGGTAGTTGCGGGAGAACATCTTGAAGCCTTTTGATAAAAGGGTGTCAATCGATTTAGGGCAAGTGGAGATTATACGGAACAAGAATGTGTCCTTGCCCGTTTGCCTGGACTTAATGCGCCAGGCGTTTTTGGCTTCAATGTTTTGCTCCTTGAGAGCGGTGAGGATATCAGTAGAAGAGATGTTTAAGTCTACTGAGCGGGCTACACAGGAAAATGTAGGTTTGTGATTGCGGGTGTTGGGAGTAGGTAGTAGGGTCTTTTTGGATTTCTTTTCATGCAATTGGATCTGTATCTTTTCAGATAACAAGGATCGTAAGGGTTTTAGTTTGTTTATAAGGTCAGGATCACGAGAAGTGACCAAGGCCTTGTTGTCTCGAAAGACGGTAAGTGATAGGAAAAGAAAGGATGGCAGGCTTTTTAGGGTGGTGAACAGGTCTTTTTGGTTTGCAAATTTGGTGGGGATATTTAGGATAAGTGCAGTGAATATAGGTAGAAAAGTTTCGGGTCTTGGGGATTGGGATTTGGATGAGGAAGAACATGCAGAGGAGTATGACGAGGAACGGTTTCTGGGCCGCTTCACGACACGGAAAGGTTGCTCGTCGGGCGAGTTGGTCCTAGGGTTCTTGGTAGTCGGAGTTTCCATGGTTAAAATGTTGAATGTGTGTGTTTGTTGTGTAAAGAATGAGAATTTGGTTAGTTTGATTAAATTAAGTTATTGGGGATCGAGTTAATTCAAAGGGACGTTGCGTACTCGGTCCCAGTGAATGTCGGTTAGTTGTAAATAAATTTGAAATCTTTACCTCTGTCGGCTGGGCTACTGGTCCACTGCTTACCTCTGGTAGAGTTTATCTGACCGAAAAAGTGCCCGGATACGTATTTATTCGGGCGGCCGTTCGTCGACCGCGTCCGACGCTACGGGTCCGACGACCAATCGCGGAGCGCGCTCGCTCCGTTCTCGCGCAAGGGGGACGGGCTTCCGATCGACGCGGCCGCCGCTTAAATGGGCAACGACGCACGTTGCAGCCGTCATAACGAGTCAAGACAGACAGACAGTCCGACGCAACGTCCGCTCCGCTGCCGTTGTTGTTGTTGTTAGT